CTGCTTCCATTATTCACTAATATTGCAATACAATAAATATATGTAATCATTAGAAAAATAAGGGTATTTTGGATATTACTAAAAACAATTTGGATATCATTTTCATTTTATCATTCTTCATTTTATATTTACTCTTGTTATAATTCTTATTTTATCATTTGAAGATGGTTTCTGACTTAATGGATGGATTTAGTTTGTTCAAACCAATACAAATGAAATATTACTATATTATTGTCAATAACAATGTTTGTCTTCTCTTGGATATCAGTGATTTGGATGTTGCCTTTGGTATTATTTGAATTGTATTCTAACTTTTTAATTCATTTGCTATTTATTTTATGTCATTTTATAAATAGTTTCCAATCTTATTTTAGTTTTTCTTGTTTTGATCGGTTGCTATTAATGATAATAGTGGTTTGTATGGTGCTATTTTAGATTTCTTTTTTCTGGTTTAATACTGCTATTTCAGTTATAAAGGTGTAATCATTTTTTGTATATTGAAATTTTATTGGGTGCAACATGAAAAATTCTTCTTATTGGTAAAAGTGCATAATTGTAAAATTTACTCGTGATATTTGTGTGAAGATATACAGATGAATAAGGGTTTTTCTTGTCATTGTATGTTTCTCCATTTTCTAGAGAATATCTAGTTTTTGAAATTGATTTTTTTTAACAATCTCAACTAATGACTAATGAGAAATTTTTCATGCTTCAATTAAGAAATTTTGATACGTTATAATAATAGGAGATGGAGTCCAAGGGCAAGTAAATAGTTTTTAATTTTTAATTATAATTATCAATGCCATTAAAATGTAATCAATTGGAGTGTTTTATTTCTTTTAATTAGTGCCACTTAAAATGCAATAATTCTAATTAAAAGACATGAGGGTAATTTAGGAATAACAAAAACTATAAAAAGTATGAATGTTGGCATTAGGGAGTGCAAGTGTAAGCACTTTTTTATCTTAGTTTTTGTTATCCTAAATTACCCTCATGTCTTTTAATTAGAATTATTGCATTTTAATGTGGCACTAATTAAAAGAAATAAAACACTCCAATTGATTACATTTTAATGGTATGGTATTGGTAATTATAATTAAAAATTCCTCACTAAAAACTATTTACTTACCCTTGGACTCCATCTCCAAAAGTATGAATGTTGGCATTAGGGAGTGCAAGTGTAAGCACTTTTTTATCTTAGTTTTTGTTATCCTTAAATTACTCTTATGTTTTTTAATTAGAATTATTGCATTTTAATGTGGCACTAATTAAAAGAATTAAAACACTCCAATTGATTACATTTTAATGGTATTGGTAATTATAATTAAAAATTCCTCACTAAAAACTATTTACCTACCCTTTGACTCCATCTCCTATTATTCTACATAACAAAATTTTTTAATTGATGCATGAAAATTTTCTCATTAGTCATTAGTTGAGATTGTTAAAAAAATCAATTTCAAAAAATAGATACTCTCTAGAAAATGGAGAAACATACAATGACAAGAAAACACTTATTCATCTGTATATCTTCACACAAATATCACGAGTAAATTTTACAATTACGCACTTTTACCAATATGAAGAATTTTTCGTGTTGCATCCAATGAAATTTCAATCTACAAAAAATGATGACACCTTTATAACTGAAATAGCAGTATTAAACTAGAAAAAAAATCTAAAATAGCACCATACAAATCACTATTATCATTAATAGCAACCGATCAAAACAAGAAAAACTAAAATAAAATTGACAACTATTTATAGAATGACATAAAGTAAATAGCAAATGAATTAAAGTAAATACCAAAGACAACATCCAAATCACTGATATCCAGGGGAAGACAAACATTATTATTGACATAAAGTAATAGGAAATGAATTAAAGTAAATACCAAAGACAACATCCAAATCACTGATATCCAGGGGAAGACAAACATTATTATTGACAATAATATGGTAATGCTTCATTTGTATTGGTTTCAGCAAACTAAATCCATCCATCAAGTCAGAAACCATCTCCAAATGATAAATAAGAATTATAAGAAGAGTAAATATAAAATGAAGAATGATAAAATGAAAATGATATCCAAATTGTTTTTAGTGATATCCAAAATACCCTTATTTTTCTAATGATTACATATATTTATTGTATTGCAATATTAGTGAATAATGGAAGCGGTTATGAAATGAAAAGCTTTAAAATTAAGAAAATTTCATTTATGGTGACAATTGTAATTAAACAGATTTAATGCATTCCAATAATTGATAATAATGATACCGGTTATCGATTAAAAGTTGGCAATTAAAAACTAAAACACTGCAATATACAAAAAATTTACATCAAAATTATTCATTAGCCACAATTCTCATTCCAATTTCATGATCATCAAAAAACTAATATTAAAACAAAAAATATTGTGCTCATATGAAAAAAGTAGACTTGTTGCTCTTGCTTCGCATTGGATTGTGCTAAAAACATGAATCAAAGAAAAGAAAAATAGAAAAACTCCAACTATCTCTATCTATAAAATTTCAATTGTTAGAATGTACAAGCCAAAAAAACTTTACGTGGTGGATCATTTATACTCCATTATTGAAAAAAATAGAATTAACATAATACAAAGAATTCAAATTACATTTATGTTTATTTTTCTAACTTAATTATATTCTTCGTTTATAAAAAATTGTGATGATTGTGATTTATATGTAATAGACTTATGAATATACAATAATTTTGGTAAAACATGATATTATCAATATTTGATATGTTAGAGTTCAAGTTATAAATCAAAAAGTGTTTGGTTCATGATTTCAAATTCAATCATAAGGGATATGTCAACTACATTGGAATGTTTTCTGCCTCTTTTTATTTCATGAAAATTTTAAAAGTAACTAGTTTAAAAAAATAAATAACATAAAAATACTATATTATGATGTTGATGATCAAAATTTCATAAAAAATTTTTAGTATCTGAAAAATAATATAGTTTAAGATATTACAATCACGTGCAAAGCACGTGAACTAGCTCTAAAAACTATCAATGATTATGCTGATATGAAGGAGAAGAAAGGTATGCACCAAAAGGTATGATCATTTTTCAGTGCGACCCCAAAATGACAAGAAAAATAAAACTTAAAGACATAGAAAAGAAATTATGTTTTAATTTTTACCAAAATATGCTTCTCGAGCTTTAGTTGCATCATACAGAAGACTCATTGCTGCAGAAGACTTGTCCAGCTGTGATCTGCAGTTGAAGGAATTAACAAATCAATAATGCAAACGATAGCATAAACATGTTCATCATGACTAGCACATCCCATTTGGAGAATTTCACATCGAGAACTGATGAAGAAGTTCTGATACTAACAAACCAAAATTAGATACATTCATATCCAAAAGGAAAAAGATCGAAAAGTTGAAAAAATAGAACAAAAGAAAATATGGAAACAAATTGGAGACGGCAAAAAGGAGAATTTTTTTTGTGGAAACCCAACAAAAGAATTACGAGTGATTTGAAGGTTGAGAATCTTACAAGGTAAATACTGAACAGTCATCTGACCAACAAAGATATGAGGTATATGGTTAATCTTAGACCACTCAGAGTCAGGGCCGCTTTGAGGAGTACATAGTTCCTCCAACAAGGGACAGTGTTTGATGCACAATTCACTTAACTTAGTGAGGCGTCTCATAGCAGCCATGGAGGGTAAAGTTCGAAGTTTAGCACAATTCACTACTTCTAGTTCTTCAAGATGAACAAGGTTCCCCAACCATTCTGGTAAAGCTTCTATTCCAAAGCCAAATAGATGTAATTCTATCAGGGCAGTCAGATTTTGAAGTTGATTTGGCAGGGACTCAGTGAGGCCACCCCTGTAATGTCAGTTTTCGGACAGGAAAAAAGAACATAAAGCTAACCAATCATATCCATAGTTCTCCATTGAAGTATCTGAGAAGGGACCAATCCATAATTCCCTTAAGCTGGTAAGACCACCAAATCCTTGGGCATAGTGGTTAACTTGGGACAGTTATTAGCCATAACACTGAAAGAGAAGGCATCTGTTGCAAATCAACTGGAAACCACACAAGATTGTGGCATTCGTACAGTCTGAGTTCCCGGAGAGATGTATTGAGCTCATTTCACTTGGAAGACTTCTCAAGCCATTGCATTGACCAATTGTCAAACTTCGAAGAGATTGAGATGTTGCGGTCATTGGAACTATAAGATCGATAGTGTTGAGATTAGGACACCTTACTACTGACAAGTGTTCCAAAGAAAGCAACTTATGCAAGTCACCTAGATGCAGTAAATGAGGACAGCTCTCTAATGACAGGTATTTTAAATTTTGGCTGTTGTGAACTGCTAACACATCAGAAACGCATGTGAGTCCTGCCTGGCCTCCTATTCTGAGTGTTGAGAGAGTGGTCGCTTTGCTCAAAATATCTTTTAACACCAAAGCATGGCTTTTATTCGGTGTTTTCAACTGATAATACAAACCATCACGATAATTTTCAATTACCAATTGTCTAAGGCATGGGAAATAATTTGGAGCTCTGTTTAGTTTATAGCAATTCTGTATCTTCAATGTCTCCAGCATGGGGAACACATCTAATACTTCACCTTCTGTTGCTTCTGCCTCCATCCACTCAACGAGATTGTTCATATTGTAGAGGTAGAGACATTTAAGATGTGGAAACACCTTTCTAGACAATTGACTAGAACTACGAGAGCTTCTGGATCCACTTGGATTGCATAAGCCATAGAATGAATGCCCAATGACTGTTACCTTTTCCAGTCCAATCATGGCCAGAGACTGGAGAAATGGCAGTTGTCCAAGTGCAGGAAGCTCTGTGCATCTTCTGCAGTTTATTAGCCGTAGACATACCAATTTGTCGAGACTTGTTGACAGATTCATCAACCACAGTGGAAATCGATTACTCATGAAATTTTCAACTTCTAATACTTGCAGATTGGGGTGAGGTTGGAGGCCATCCAACACATTTATATCAGCACCGTCAACTTCCCATCTACCACCCCATTCAAGTGATAGCGAAGACAATTCTGCTTTTCGAACAATTTTGCCCTTTCAGCTGCTTCTTTGCCTTCTACTAGTTCAAGATTGCGGATCCTCAGGAAACCTTTCAGGTCTCTTAAGCATCCAAGCTCTTCAATTTGGCGTCCTTTCTCTTCACCAACATTGAAGAAGTCCAGCGTTTGAAGACAAGTTAATCTCCCCATCCCTAGCGGCATCTGCACTTTTCTATCATTATTGTAATAGCATAGATGTCTCAAGCTAATCAACTTGCTCATCTGCTCTGGAAGGTCCATTGGAGAAATGCAATTGAACTTCAGAGTCTGCAAATTATAAAGCTTGCAAAGAGATTCTGGCAAAGTTTTTATTTGAGTGTATGGAAACTCAAGATAGCGCAGATGGATTAGTTTACCAATTGATGTTGGCAACTCCACAGTATTTGCTGAAGACAAGTCTAGAACACGCAAGTTCTTCAACTTTGGTACTAGGTCCTCCGATATAGGACTCCTTGGAAATAATGAACGAAGTGAACTAGATATGACTTCAGATTTTTGGTGTAATTTCTCCAGATGAGTTTAAAACAATGCTTTCACATCTCGAAATAGATTGTGCAAGGTCATGTACGAGATCATGCATTCGACCAAATGTCCGCTTATCACTGCTAATTTCTTCATGCAACAAGGAACTGTCCACCAAAACTCTGAAATACTTATCACCTATTTCCTCCATTACTTCATTTTCAAGATTTGATTGAAGAAATCCCTCTGCCATCCAAAGTTGGATTAACTTCCTCCTTTCTATCTTGAAATCCTTGCAAAACATCGAGCAGTATGCAAAGCATTTTTTAATGGATAGAGATGGCAAATGATCAAAGCTCAGCTTGAGTATTTGCATGACACTATAGTCATCTCCAGTAGACTTCAAAAGCCCATTCTTCACAATTGAGAGCCACTCCTCCTTCCTTGTCATACGCAACATACCTCCAATAACAATTGCAGCAAGTGGTAGACCTTGGCACCATTTTGTGATTTCCTTTTCTTGTACTTGCAATTCTTCTGGTACTTCCCCACTTCCTATCATTTTGTCTTTTATTATAGTCCAGCAATCATCATCAGATAGCTTCCCTAATGAATAGGGAGGATATGTAGCCACAACGGTTGCCACTTGTAGCTGACGAGTAGTCACAAGACACCAGTTTCCTCTGGTCGTGCTTATTCCAGTCAAAGAACGATAAAAATCCGTCCAGAGTAAAGGAATTTCATTCCAAAGATCATCCAATACAAGAAGATATCGTTTGCCCTCGATTTCTTTTCGAATCTCTTGGACAATAACGTCTCTACTAGCTACATCAACTTTGCGTCTTGTCAACGATTCCAAGATTAGTCTGAATATCCTAGTGACCTCAAAATCTTCAGATACACAAACCCAAATCTTTAAATCGAAATGCCTCTCGATTTGCTGGTCGTTGAAAATTGACTGAGCCAGAGTTTTTTTCCCAAACCACCCATTCCAGTTATGGGCAAAACATAAATAACATTGCTGGTCTCACTCGAAATCTTCTGTACTATTTTGAACTTATCATGCTCTCTACCCACAATATTAGGAAAAACAACGGAGTCAGTCTCACGATTGACCATCACAGTTCTACTAATGTCGGGAAGCAGAGTAGCTTTTGTACCACTACCCCCCAATTGGGACTTGAGTCCAAAGCTATTCGCTTCTTCATTAATAATGTTCAACTTCTTGTTCAAATCCCTTATCTTTTGACCCATTTTCCAACGAAAACCAATTGAGTTAGAATGGAAAAGAGAGCGTACCTTTCCTTTCAGTTGGTTACCATTTCTCTTTCCGGTCTCTACCTGTTGCTTAGAACATCATAGTTGAGCTCATCGACCATGGTTCGAAGTCTCGGCCGAGACCGAGACGACTCTATCGAGTCGTCACCGTCTCGCCCCTTACCGATACGATATCGTGACGAAACGATACCGAAATACTTGACTCGCCGAGAAATCGGCCGAGTCGTCACCGCGACGGATTGATTCGGCCGAGTCACACCGAGTCACTCCGAGTTATCCCGAGTCAAGACGAGAAATCAGCCGAGTCACACCGCGACGGATTGACTTGGCCGTTTCTTTTGCTATTTTTTAATTATTTTTATTTAGCATATTTTTTTATATTAGTAACAATTTTTAGAATATTGAATACTTTAAAATTTGCGTCTCACCGAGACCGCGACCGATATGCCGAGACCGATGTGAAATGTTTCGGGCCGCGACCGCACCGTGATTTTGAACTATGCATCCAACACGTTATCAGCTTCATAAGCCAGTCCTTCAAGTCTCTTCAGCCAAAGCTGCACTGCCTGCTGCTTCGGCTGCTCTTCCTCAGCATCAGCCAAGACAGCTAGGATCATCTCCACCGATGCTTTGAACTTCACCAGATCCTCCTTGAATCCATAAACCATGCCAATCTGGTCACTAGCAATGCCAACTGCCTTCTCTAACGTAATCCTTATGGTAGCACCAACAAGAGCATCAGCCATTCTTGATTTCTCGATCACACTACAGTTTTCTTTTTGTGTTTTTGGGAAAAGGGTTCGTGAGTTATGTTCTTGAAGAGACGTCAATGGGGGCTAGAATCGCTGCCTTAAGGTGAAGGTTGAATTTTGTATGCCTGTTGACGCGGAATGCATATACTGTAAATTAAACAAAGACTTTGCCAGTCACGTAAGTGTGTAAGCATTTTTTTTTTATGGGTATTTAAACTTGAAAGAAACTGCATTAAGAAGAAAATTAATATCATCGAGGGATTATTTTTAATACACTGTTTGTGTAAATATTTTTTTTTACACACAAGCAGATTTAAATGAATGTCGCATTATCATTGTTCAAATTTTAAATTTACTTTTTATCTATGTGTCATATATCTATATCTGGTAATGTAAAAGTGTATAACATTAATCCAAATAATCAACATTTCGTATACTATTTATGCATTTCTTGATTCTACGTGTTTTGGTACAACTTCTTCTTCTTTTACCTCTTTTGGTGAGAAATGTCTCTGCCATATTTTGGTTCTCTTTTGTTAATCAAAGGATAATAATTGACGAGAAAGTATTGACTTTAAATAGATTATGAATCTCTTTCTATAGGACAATTGTTGATGATTTATGTACATACATTACACTTAAAAAGTTCTATTAACATGTTTCCTTTAGTTCATTAGTAATTAAGTAACTTGCTCACTCTCAATTTCCAAAGTTGATTTATAGGGCAGATTACACTTTATACTCCAATGGTTTAGGTTTTTTATGCATAACTCCCATATGGTTTCAAAAGTTATACACAACTCCCACATGGTTCAGAAAGCGACGAACAGAGTCACCTAAAATATAAAAACTATCCCTATGTAAAGTTGAAAGTTATTTATTAACCATAGGGGGATTATGTGTATATTTTGAAAATTATAAGGGATTTATATGATAAATCATTAAATCATAAAGGGGTTATATGATAAAATATAAAACCATAGGGGGTTAGTGTGTCAAGTATATTATATTTATATATTTTGGTCACTTTACCATTTTAATTTTTAAACAAAGATAATTTTGATATTTTTATAGGTTCTGTTACCAATCATTATTCGGTTACTTTGACACTTTAATCCAAACTATAAGAAGATTACATATAGTTTTTGAAATCATAGGTGGATTATGTACAAATGACTTAATTCGGTTCATCAAAGGTGCTTTTCCTGTTCTTTTTGAAGATAAGTAAGATAAATTGATAGATTCTGCGTTTACCTGAAAAATAAAAAAAAGGAAAAGAAAGTACGGAGAGCTAAAATGCACCCCAGATCTGACTTCTGCGATCCCCTCCATTTGGCCAGATCTATCTGGGATTAGGAATCAGCAAAGATAAGTTGGATTGGTATACAATAACAATGAGTATTCTCCCTTCTTCTTCTTTTTTTTTTTTTTTTTTTTTTGGTTGGGTGTAAATTCAAGCTGCTCTCTTCTTAAGTGCTGGTGTCAACATGTAGGTGAAATTCAACAGATTGGTTGACAAAAAAGAAATAGTTTTGGATGGAGACAACAGATTAATTTTTTTTTCTTTATAGAAGGTTTCACATTTTGACTTAATTTATGGATGGGAAGAATTAACAATTTTTTTGTGAAATATTTGTGGAATCAGACTCTGTTGTGATATTCTGGCATTATTCTGATTTCAAGGCAACCTAAGTTTGGTGAACAAGCAGCCAAAGATGTCCTCCTGATTAAACAATCAAAGAATATTATTGTTGTTCATGGACTGTTATTATTATTTTTGGGGTCAAATCGTTCATGGTCTATTTTAGTCATTGCAATTCTTGGTTTTCAATACCGTGTATAAGCTACTTTGCATACCAATTTTAATCGCCGGACTTCAAAATTTAGAAGCCAGATGACAGCAGATCAATGGCATAATAGATCTTTGTCCCAATCCTACGTCATTCTTTGTCCCATTTTTTATTATATTACTATTTCTCTATATAAATATCATGTTTTAGTTCTTTTTATTTTCTTAAGATCTAGTAACTATTAATTGAATAAAAAATAAATACAACGGTTTCAAAAAAGTAATATATATAGTAGAAAATTAAAAAATACAGCAGAGAAATTCATTAAAAAATCTCATTTTTTATGAATTTTTATTTTTTGAGTATGTTAAATTTTGTATTACTCAATTAATAGTTATTGAATCTTAAAGAAACAAAAAAAAGAACTAAAACATGATGTTTATATAGGAGAAATAGAAATTTAATAAAAAATGAGACAGAGAATGACATAGAGTGTGCGACAGAAGATCCGTTAGTGATCAACGGTCTCTTATCAAAAGTTACGAAAATAAAAATACGAATAATGTTACTATGACTTTCAAAGATTATTTTATTGTATATTAAGTCCAAATTTAACTCTTATCAACAAGACATTAAATTAATCAAAATTTTACAAACTAATCACTTTTATACGCATGTACCTATGTAAATTATGATGTATGGTATTGCTATTTTGTGTATAACTCGAAAATTTTGTTATTATCCTTACCCATATTTTTTAAACTTTTTCCAAAAATAGTAATATAATTCATGAAGTACGATTAGTCAAAAGTTTATTACATGCCTTGTACAATTGAAAAGTATGAGTAATTTTTGAATTATTTTGAAGTGTACGGAAAACATAAGTATTTTCTAATTATATGTTGGACGTTTAGTGCTACTATTATTTTCCTCCTTTTAATCACTTTACCCTCAAGACTAACGGTCAAACTTAAAAGATTTTGTTAATTCAAGTGACGAGATATGTTTCGTCTTTAAAATTATTATCACTTTAACCAATAAACTATAGTTATCAATTTACCTCCTAAAGTTATTTTCTAGGCAATTTACCTCCTAAAGTAATATGACAATATTAGATTCTTCATTATTTTTGACAGGTGCCGAACCTGTGCAATAATAAAAACCTACTCGAGAAAAATACAGATTTTGTATATAGCGGTGAGTAGGGTCGAATCCACAGGGATTGGGGATAATTCGTTTCTTCTAGAGTTCAAGATATGGGGGGTTTTGGATTAAATGCTAACTAAATAAATTAACTGCAGAAAATAATTAAGTAAAAGAAATAATTAAGATAGCTCTAGCCAAGGGTATACTTCAGAAATGGTTCAGGCACTGATCATTGATGCGCAGATAATTCCAACATTTAGTAATAGATTAGTTATAGTTGTCATGCACGCGATAAACAACCAACCCTTCCTTAATTTCTCGATAGCTAAGGTACGACCGTTAGCTATTTCTCTAACCCAAAAATAACCCAGGTACGACCGTGAAATTTAATTTCTAGATTGCATTAATAATTAGAAAGGCCCAATCCTAACCAACAAACACGCTACGAGGGTTTGTTTAAACTAGATCATATGCTCCCCTGACATAAACCCAATTACGCCAGTTGCTACTGAGATAGAGATAACGAACAATTACGGATTCAATTACCCCTATTTAGCAAAATAGCCCATATGAATAATTAATTATTGCGCACTAATCAATCATACACAAGAGCTATAACAGTTAAAAGTAGGAAACATATGAATACCAATAAATGGAGGAAATAATTAAAATAAATTCGATCTCACAGTAATTGTTGAACCAAATCTTCAGTTGTCCCCTTGACTAGAATTGAGAGGTTAGTCCTCCATTAATGGAGAACAACCATGCGAAAAAGCTAAGAAGAGAAAACTAAAAACTATGCTAAAAATCTAAACTAAAACTATTGATCAGATTCCCGTTCTCTGTACGTTTGTCTCCCTTTTTAAAGCCAAAAGGAAGTCTAATGCTATCTCTAGTGGTCCCCACACCAAATTCAAAGTCTTGTACGTTTCTTTTCCTAGAGTCCAAATGACTCATGCTTCTTATCCGTGGTCTCCGCACATGTGGACAAAGCCTCCAAAGTACTTGTTGTTCCAAGTCTCTCTACGTTGCTTTCTTTGAAAAGCCCAAATGACTAAATGCCTTGCACTAGCTTGTGGTCCCCACCAATTCAAGAGTCCAAGGTCCTTAGAAGTCTCCATTTTCCCATAAAAGTCTCTCCTTTTTGGTAATTTTTCGCTTTGTTCCTGAAATTAAGCCCCAATACCAAATATAAGTAAATATTAATAATTAAAACAATATTTGGCAAGAATAAAAGGGGAAATTAACAATAAAATTACTAACAATTAACACCCTATCAATTCCCCCC